AACTAAATCAAGAAATTTGTAAACATAACATATTGTGTAGGCTTACTCCTTTTTATAATCGTATTTAGCTGCAGGCTTTTCGTCCTCTACATTGTGTATTGTTGACGTTTGGCCTCCATGTCGGCCTTTGTACCGTGTCGGCTTTTTGTCTTGGTCCCATGCTTTGTAATGTAAAACGCGTGGTGAATGTAGGCAGTAAACGTGGTTAAAATATTCTTAGGATGAGTTGGGGCTAGTATATTATATTAACTAAGACTTTTTCCCATTTCGACTAATAAAACACAACGAGTAGGTTAGAAAGTTTGATATTGAATACAACACGGTTAATACGAGGGCTACTTCAGATTAAAACAAATATTTTTACACGTGTCGTAATTTTACCAAAACAACTTATTTATAAATATCTAAAATGTTGAATTTTATATTAATTAAATGTATGTTTCTGAATACTTAATAAATCTTGTTATGAGCAAGTTCTATTAAAATACAAATTTGTGACTATTTCCTGTGACTTTTATTCCTGTGACTTTTTTCTGTGACTTTGTTTTTTTGACTGTTTGACTCCCCCCCCCCCCCCGCCAATCAAAATTGATACAGGTTCCCATAAAATTAATATTGTGGTTCTCATAATATTGATACGGGGGCTCACATAATATTGATATGGGGGTTTAGCATAATATTGTTATGGGGATTTCACATAATATTAATATGGTGTTTTCACATAATATTTCACATAATATTGATATGGGGGTTTCGCATAATATTGTTATGGGGGTTTCACATAATATTAATATGGTGGTTTCACATAATATTGATGTGGTGGTTTCACATAATAATGATTCTGGGTAGGCCTACACGATAAGAGCTCACCGCTCCATTTCTGTTAGACAGCCTTTAAAATAAAAGAGGATGGAGGTGGGAGGTTCGGTGGGATTGGGGGGGGGGGGGGGGGGGCTGACAAATAGTGGACAGACGATAGGGTTTCAAAATAAAATTTCACGATTTAGAAAATAGCAAAGGCGTCCTGACATCTAGCTGACCACAGATTCGCTACACATGTCGAGGTCAAAGAAAAAAAAAAAAAAAGAACATCTGACATGCTAAATGGACAGTTTAGTTTGGAAAAATGGTGCTATTAAATATAAAAAAAAAGCTTTGCCTTTTAAACCATAACATTAACTATCCGAAATGGTAACATTATTTGAACAAAAGGAAAAGAAAACGCCTTTTCAAAAATATACCAACAAAGCAAATGGGTCAAAGTTCATCTAGTTTCCTAAGCTCTGGCTCTGATTGGTCAGCCATCTTGCGCGCCCTAGTGGGTCTTTGTTCCTACGCCCACTTAGGCCTACTAATTAAAAGCCCAGCTCTAGTTTCCTTTATCCACAAACTATTTTTGTTCACCAGCTATATTTAGCTAGAAGATACTTTGTTGTGTGTCTTGGTTATTTTGAAGTTCAAACATAACCTTGAACAAAAAATGTCACAAAACGGACACAACATTAAGTTCATAACACGGAAGAGAGAGGGTTAAAAGTTGATGTTGAGTTGATGCCTTGAATTAAAATTAATGTTTATAATTATGTTTTATTATCAGAAAGAAAGTACAAGATAATTTTCTTTTAATACATTTTTATGGCCAGTATTGATTTGTACAACGTTTTTGCTGGGTTTTGCTGTAATTTTGGCTGAGTACGTGTCGTTTGATTTGTAAAAAAATAATCGCAATTATGAACTGGCCCACTACGTAGAGTACGTCTAATTAATTAACCCTTGTCGAAAACTAAGAGTGTAAGTTTATCTGTGTGTTAAACTACAAGTCTATAATGATCCTTCTATCATCTATAAATTAAAGCAAAAAAGCTTTCCGTCAATCTACAAGTCTAACTAAGGTGTAAAGTTTCTATAGTTTAACATCAGTTGTCTAATCACAGTATATTTAAGTTATGTTGCTAATTAACTGCAGTTTTAGGGTAATTTTCGAAATATAACGCAAAAGAAATGAAATCTTTCTGAATAATCTAATTTCATCTTTTTGTTCACTACAAATCTAACTAATTTAGACTTCTAAGTACAAATCGAATTTAACCTCTACTTTAGAGTAAAAATCTAATCACCAAGTTTTAAAGTACATATCTGTTTTTAATCAATGGATTAAAGATCTTGTCTTATCTGACTCGTGAAAGGCAGAATTTGTTTTATGCTAATAAAGTCTTACAGGTCTAGGCAGAGTGAATTTTTAATAGTTTTTTTTATATTAAGCTTTTAATGACAGTGCATCGGGGTAGAGATGATTCTATACAAGTTTGTGAAATATAATGTGAAGGTGTGGGCTATGTGTTTCATTGTCTTGTTAGGATGGAGAAGAGGGGAAAAGGGGGGGGGGGGGGGAAATAGAGATCAGGGGGAAATAGACGATAGAGTGATAGATCCAGAGAGAATGATAGTTAGAGAAAGAGAGAAAGCGAAGTGAGAGAATGTGAGAGAGTGTAAAATGTAGAGATGACAGCAGTGTTTCTTCCAGACTTTTTTCTCCGGGGGGGGGGGGGGCACTTGAAATTTTCGGGGGGGGGGGGGGGGCGGTAAACTTTCTTCGGGGGGGGGGGGCGGACAGTGTTAAAAGTATATATTTTCTAAATAATTATATAAATTTCATTTCGTTCGAAGAGATGCCTGGAAGAAACTCTGGATGACAGAGAGTGAGGGAGGAGAATTAGAGAGAGAGAGAGAGAGAGAGAAAGAGAGAGAGAGAGAGAGAGAGAGAGAGAGAGAGAGAGAAAGAGAACGAGAGGGATAGAATTAGGGAGAGAAAGATAAAACAGCGATACAAAATAAAAGAAAGGTAAATAAAAGACGCTATTATGGTTGACGTCATTACATGTATTATGGGTGGGCTGAAGTTACAGTAAAAATAAACCGGGAGTGATCTCCCCTAAACTTTCTCGAATATTCTTATATAAAATAACAGGGGATGGGAACTCGGGCTATAGACATGATTTTTAATCCATTTTAAATACTTAAAGTTTTAAAAATAGAATAAAATCTCGTAGACAAATTAATTGCACACCAAGTGAACGCGAAATAAAAAAGCGCATAATAGTGCGCAATATTATTATTACTTTTAAAATTTACATTAGTTTTTTGAGAAATCGGAAGTAGCGTAAAGTACTACTTCCAGTCAACGGAAATGACTCAAAATTTAATAGAAGGTAGAGAATTAGATCTTTTACTTACGTATGAAATTTCATTTATCTATCTGAAATAGTACTCAAGTTATAGGCTTTTGAAAAATTCAAAGTAGGAAAAGTACCACTTCCGGTTATCGGAAATCGCTCAAAAGTTGATACGGATCTACGATTTTGATAAAATACTTATATATGAAATTTCATCAACCTAGCTGTAACGGTACTCAAGTTATCGTGTTTACACACGGACACACACACACACAGACACACACACAGACACACAGACATACGGACAAGATTGCAAAATTATGTTTTTCCGTATCAGTGAGATGCAAAACGTCGAGATTTGCAAAAATCTCGATTTTTTTTTTTTGCACGATTACAAGACTTTCTCTATACTTCGTATATACGAGAAAGTAAAAAAGCTAAAAAAATTTAATCAAATCCCATCCGCAATACGCTCTGTTAAATATTACATTGATTTAACCAAATGACTTTAATTAAATTTAGTGACGTGTTTATTTTTATCCAGAGCTTAATTATACCCTTTGTCATTCAACTTTTGACGTCGTTTAGTGCAGATTAACACATACAAGTTCGACAACCCAAGTTAATATAGAAGATTAACAAGTTCGACAACCCAAGTGAATGTAGGACAAGATAGAAATTGAGTTGAAAAATTCACGCCTCGCTGTCTTCGTCAACATTTTTTTCTCGTCAAAAATTAATTAGATGAACTGTTATAAATGAACAAATTTCAACTCCCCACTCACGCGAATCTTGACATTCTGATTAATGTATAAAGTAACGGACAGAACTAACGTCAGTGATTATTGATTTTTATTCCCTCTAGAAATGTTTGAATAAAAAGTTCAACACACAGCGGCCTTGTCAGAATAACTGTGAGTACATGTGGCCAGGTCGAACTGACTACCCCTCAACCACTCCACTGATGGCGAATTTCCATTGGGACAAAATGACAACCCACTTCTAGATCCTGGTTTACAGGTATGATCATAGTTATACATCATCATTATCTTTTCATTTCAGTGGGCAGGACAAATGAAGTCGACACACAAAGCTCTATCCACTGTAGCAAAAATCTGGCAACTTTCTTGGCAGTCCCCCAAGATAATCCGGCACTTGTCAACTGTTTTCCTCCAGTGCGCATCGAATATGATATTTTGGAGAACTGTTCCCTGTTTACCGGTTTCAATACTATCTGAGTTGGTTTCTGTAGCGTTTTTTTTGGTAAGCAATAAGGCTGATGACATTTTCAACCCCCAACCTGGAGGACCAGGGTGCTAGCTTTCGTCTGACCCCCTACCCGAGCAGATCTGCCCAGCTTGGGTGAACCTGGCAGGAGTTAACACTCCCGCTGGTATAGCTCTGGGGGTCGTCAGGGTACAAAAGCCATCAAGCTTCGACAAGACACAACATGCTGTTATTTTTAAAATTCTTCCATGATATATTAGAAATATTTTCTGTCTAGAGGGTGTCTCAGAGTTCGAACATTCTGCAAGCTAGTAGAGTGAAGCGTTCGACTAGAGGCTGTAGGGTGTCACAGAGATCGAGCATTCCTTAATAAGATTTAAGGCGGGGGTTTGTGAGGTTACAGTGATAATAACAGATTAATTTATTCATTGAGGTAACAAAAGAAGGTGAACTCTACTTTATCTACATATCAAAATCACCAGGTTTCAAAATGTTTTTAGGCTACATTAGTTTCTTAATATAGTTTCTTAAAGTTTGTATTAATATTCTAAATGCTTAATAACGCGAATTCACTTTACTTTTTCCCCCCAGCGCCTTATCATGACAAACACAACAGAGCCATACACACACGAGCTTTTGAAGAACTTTAGCTCAGTTGTCACAAGCCCGGAGACCGTCCATTTCTCCAACAGCACCGCTTCCAGCCAATCAGACGCTCTCCGGCACCGGAACTTGTTCATCGGCGTGTCCGGCATCGTGCTGAACCTGTCCGGCATCCTCCTGCTGGTGACGTCACGTCACGTGAAGGTCACGTTGAAGATCTCGCTGTTGAGTCTGCTGGTCAATGACCTGATGTTCCTGACGGTGCTCTTCGCCCTGGGCACGCTGAGCAGCACGCTGACCACCAACCACGCCTTCTGCTGGCCCGTGCTGTACCTCAGCTACACCTCGGTCATCGTGTCCTACCTGTCTGTCTGCCAGCTCGCGCTGCAGAACTACATCGCCGTCTTCTACCCGCTCAGCTGCAACCGGATCGTGACCTTGACCAAGGTGACCTTGTCCACCGTCGTCATCTGGGTCATGGGGTTTCTGGTATGCCTGGGTTGTACAGGGTTAAAGTTCGAGAAGAATCAGCTGTGTATCGCGCTGGTCCCTGTCCCGACGTCAGGGATTGGTGGGATCGCCGTCACGTGCGTCATCTGCGCAGGCGTCGTGTCGGCTATAAATATCAAAATCTTCACGCAAATCAGGAGGCGGAACCGGCGAGTGGGCGTGGCTGTACCAGACGACACCAGCACGAGTGTCCGGACCGTTTCGGAAAATTTACAAAAAAGCGAATTCTCACCGGAAACTCTGCAAGTGCCTTCTCGGCTGAACATAGGTTCATCCACGTCAACACGCATTCATTCTCCATTAAAAGTACCGGTTCTAATCCCACCGGCTCCGAAGATTCCAAAATCAACAAATGACTGTAGCCAGGTTGAAAGTGGATGTCACACAGTAGCCTCAAGCGAATTTGGAAATTTGACTTCCCACACACACGGAAATACACCAAGCTCTTCCGTTTTGAACAATGAAGTACGCTCTGAGTATACGGATTGCAAGAATAAAACGTCTTCTAAATTAGATGGACAATCAATACAAATTATAAAAAACAAAAAAAGTTCCCCTCAGCTTGTGTGTTATACTCACGGTAATGCTTCAACATACGTAACACAATTCCGCCAAACTTCAACCAGTGAAATACTGACATTATCGGAACAACTACCACCCAGACTGAACATAGAGCAAAATTCGCTACATTTGAATCCCCGATGTTCACCTGTACCACCAAATACAGTTTTTTCAACATCGCGTTTCTCGATGAACGAACGCGTTGAGCGCTTACCGCAGTTCTCGCGTGCGCTCCGCAGCCCCGAAAAACTCCTACGCCGACACGGACAAGCCAAGATCAGAAACACGATTCTCATCTTGACCCTTTGGTGCTGCGTCGTCACGCTTCCGTTCCTAGTTTCCATGGTGATTCTCGTCTCGTCGAAAAATTTCCAGAAGTTGACCTTCGCCCAGAGCGGGGTGGGCATCTTCGTGTCCAGTCTGGTGACGGTCAATGTCCTGGGGAATCCTGTGTTGTACGCCTGGAGGTTCATTCAGTGGAGGAAGATGTTCAGTAAACTGCGGCAGTGGAGGAGGAACTTGGGTCTTGTGTAGGGAGATGTTCAGTAAAATTCGACAGTGGAGGAAGATGTTGAGCAAACTACGACAGTGTAGGGAGATGTTGAGAGAACTACGACAGTGGAGGAAGATGTTCAGCCATTTACGACCGTGTAGGAAGATCTTCAGAAAACTACGACAGTGTCGGAAGATGTTGAGCAAACTACGACAGTGTAGGAAGGTCTTCAGAAAACTACGACAGTGTAGGAAGATGTTTAGCAAACTACGACAGTGTAGGAAGATGTTTAGCAAACTACGACAGTGTAGGGAGATGTTTAGCAAACTACGACAGTGTAGAAAGATGTTCAGAAAATACGACAGTGTAGGAAGATGTTTAGCAAACTACGACAGTGTAGGAAGATGTTTAGCAAACTACGACAGTGTAGGGAGATGTTTAGCAAACTGCGACAGTGTAGAAAGATGTTCAGAAAATACGACAGTGTAGAAAGATGTTCAAGAAACTACGACAGTGGAGATGATGCTCAGCAAACTACAGCAATGGAAGGGGAACTTTGATCTCGTATAATCACAGTTTATATAGGGATCTAAGTCTAAAGGCGGAAATGTATATTCGCCAATATTAACAAATGACAAGACAGAAAGTAAAAAAAAATATGAACGAAAGACCGAAGAAGAACAAAGCCGATAGCACAAAAAGCCGACACGATAAATGCCGTAAGGTCGGTAAATATACGATGGTGACCAAACGTCAAACAATCACAAAGAAATATTTATTATACTCAAGGTTTAACAGAAAGTGGCTTATCAGTTGTTATGATTATGTGCATTATTTACAATGTCAGGGTATAATAATAATTATACTAACTACATGTTCACACGACGAAAGCGTTTAGCTTGAACTAAAGTAAATTTAATTTCCCATCAGTTACGTGATATTCATGTCAATGAGAAAAATAATGTTCAAAATATGTCAGCTTTGGTGTTGTCAAAATAAACGCTTTTGGTTGCCATTATGGTAGCAAGGGAAAGAACTCCCGAAATTTTTGTGTCATATTGTTATAAATAATAGTTGTTAGTGTCGAGGGAATAAGGCTACAACAGATAATGCTCGCTTTATTCGGACACACCTTAATGACAATACAATTTAAAGCAGAGGTCTATAAGGTTCCAGTGATAACAACGTATTCATTTATTTATTGAGGTAATAAAAACAGTGAACCCTACTTTATCTGCATATCAGACTCACCAGGTTTAATATGGCTTAAAACTATACTAATTTCTCAAGATATTTTGTTGTATCGTTTCATAAATTTTCTAAATGCTTTATAACGCGAATTTAATTTACTGTTTTTCCAGCTCCTTATCATGACAAACACAACAGAGCCATACACACACGAGCTTTTGAAGAACTTTAGCTCAGTTGTCACAAGCCCGGAGACCGTCCGTTTCTCCAACAGCACCGCATCCAGCCAATCAGACGCTCTCCGGCACCGGAACTTGTTCATCGGCGTGTCCGGCATCGTGCTGAACCTGTCCGGCATCCTCCTGCTGGTGACGTCACGTCACGTGAAGAGCACGCTGAAGATCTCGCTGTTGAGTCTCCTGGTCAACGACCTGATGTTTCTGACGGTGCTCTTCGCCCTGGGCACGCTGAGCAGCACGCTGACCACCAACCACGCCTTCTGCTGGCCCGTGCTGTACCTGAGCTACACCTCGGTCATCGTGTCCTACCTGTCTGTCTGCCAGCTCGCGCTCCAGAACTACATCGCCGTCTTCTACCCGCTCAGCTGCAACCGGATCGTGACCTTGACCAAGGTGACCTTGTCCACCGTCGTTATTTGGGTCATGGGGTTTCTGGTATGCCTGGGTTGTACAGGGTTAAAGTTCGAGAAGAATCAGCTGTGTATCGCGCTGGTCCCTGTCCCGACGTCCGGGATTGGTGGGATTGCCGTCACGTGCGTCATCTGCGCAGGCGTCGTGTCGGCTATAAATATCAAAATCTTCACGCAAATCAGGAGGCGGAACCGGCGAGTGGGCGTGGCTGTACCGGACGACACCAGCACGAGTGTCCGGACCGTTTCGGAAAATTTACAAAAAAGCGAATTCTCCCCGGAAACTCTGCACGTGCCTTCTCGGCTGAACATAGGTTCATCCACGTCAACACGCATTCATTCTCCATTTAAAGTACCGGTTCTAATCCCACCGGCTCCCAAGATTCAAAAATCAACAAATGACTGTAGCCAGGTTGAAAGAGGATGTCACACAGTAGCCTCAAGCGAATTTGGAAATTTGACTTCCCACACACACGGAAATACACCAAGCTCTTCCGTTTTGAACAATGAAGTACGCTCTGAGTATACGGATTGTAACAATAAAATGTCTTCTAAATTAGATGGAAAATCAATACAAATTATAAAAAACAAAAAAAGTTCCCCTCAGCTTGTGTGTTATACTCACGGTAATGCTTCAATATACGTAACACAATTCCGCCAAACTTCAACCAGTGAAATATTGACATTATCTGAACAACTACCACCCAGACTGAACAGAGAGCAAACTTCACCACATTTGAATCCCCAATGTTCACCTGTACCACCAAATACAGTTTTTTCAACATCACGTTTCTCGATGAACGACCGCGTTGAGCGCTTACCGCAGTTCTCGCGTGCGCTCCGCAGCCCCGAAAAACTCCTACGCCGACACGGACAAGCCAAGATCAGAAACACAATTCTCATCTTGACCCTTTGGTGCTGCGTCGTCACGCTTCCGTTCTTGGTTTCCATGGTGATTCTCGTCTCGTCGAAAAATTTCCAGAAGTTGACCTTTGCCCAGAGCGGGGTGGGCATCTTCGTGTCCAGTCTGGTGACGGTCAATGTCCTGGGGAATCCTGTCTTGTACGCCTGGAGGTTCATTCAGTGGAGGAAGATGTTCAGTAAACTACGGCAGTGGAGGAGGAACTTTGGTCTTGTGTAGGGAGATGTTCAGAGAACTATAACAGTGTAGGAAGATGTTCAGTAAATTACGACAGTGGAGGAGGAACTTTGGTCTAGTGTAGGGAGATGTTGAATAAACTACGACAGTGTAGGAACGTGTTCAGTAAATTACGACAGTGGAGGAGGAACTTTGGTCTAGTGTAGGGAGATGTTGAATAAACTACGACAGTGTAGGAAGATGTTTAGCGAACTACGACAGTGGAGGAAGATGTTCAGATAAGTACGACAGTGGAGGAAGATGTTCAGCAAACTACGACAGTGGAAGAGGAATTTGGGTCTTGTGTAGGAAGATGTTCAGAGAACTGCTACAGTGGAGGAAGATGTTCAAGAAATTACGACAGTGGAGGAAGATGTTCAGCAAACTACGACAATGGAAGGGGAACTTTGATCTCGTATAATCACAATTCATATAGGGATCTAAGTCGAAAGGCGGAAAGTATATTCGCCAATATTAACAAATGAGAGACAGAAAGTAAAAAAAAATATGAACGAAAGACCGAAAAAGAGCAAGGCCGATAGCACAAAAAGCCGACACGATAAATGCCGTAAGGTCGGTAAATATACGTTGGTAACCAAACCTCAAACAATCACAAAGAAATATTTATTATATTCAAGGTTTAACAGAAAGTGGCTTGTCAGTTGTTATGATTATATGCATTATTTACAATGTCAGGGTATAACAATAATTATACTAACATGTTCACACGACGAAAGCGTTTAGCTTGAACCAAGGTAAATGTAATTTCCCATCAGTCACGTGATATTCATGTCGATGAGAAAAATAATGTTCAAAAGATGTCAGCTTTGGTGTTGTCAAAATAAACGCTTTTGGTTGCCATTATGGTAGCAAGGGAAAGAACTCCCGTAATTTTTGTGTAAGGGGTCATCCATAAATGACGTCACGCTTTTTTGGGACGATTTTTACCTCCCCCCCCTCCCCTCCGTCACACGTCGTCACAAAAAGCCAGACCCCCCCCCTAAAATGACGTCACACCTCAACCTACAACCCCCCTCAAAATTACAGTTGAATTTTTTAAAAACATCGATATTTTTCCAAAATCTTGTCTAAACTATTACAATTTATTAAAACAGTTATCTAAAACGCGAAATAACGTCTAAAATTCGTTTTCTAACATTGCTTTTTTATAATGCAAAAAAGTGACGTCGCAACATCTGACCCCCCCCCCTCCCCCTCATCACACATCGTCACAAAATTACGGACCCCCCCTCCCCCCTACGAGTGTGACGTCATTTATGGATGACCCCTAATACGTTAAAATAGTTGTTAGGGCCGAGGGAGTAAGATTACAACAGATAATGCTCGCTTTTCTCCCTTTAATCACAAGCAAATAATATCAGAAAAATATGTATCGCAGCTGATTAAGAGCTTATTCTTAATCATACTGTTAAATTATAGTTCATATAAAAGGCTTTGACTACTCGAATATTTCTAGCGCGTAAAAGGTAAATTTTCTACCCGTTATGAGCTTTGACATTGGATAAATAAAAATCATTTGTTCAGCGCGATGTCAAACACATCTGTTTTCTTCTTGACTCGTCTTTGTACAGCAGACAAGGGACGCAACTAATAAAATACCAAAAGACTAGATTGAATTAATAGAGTTATGTTTCTTGATATATTCTCTTATGTCCATTCGTTTTTATTGTAGTTAAACCATTGCTTAAAATTTAAGTTAAATTTAACAGAGAAAAAAAAGGGAATTTTAGTAATTAAAAAAAAATTATTGTTCATTGGACGACGAGTGCAGTTTCCCATTGCGTAATGAAGGCAAAGTAAAAAGAAAACCCAGAATAACTTTAAAATGCACGATTTCGAGGCGTGCATATAAAAAGTCTGTAACGATCATGGATTCTTTTAGACATTGCTCTCTGAGGGGGAGGAGGGAGCACATGAAATTTCCGAGGCGGGGAGTGATCTGTTCTGGAAGGTTCTCATTAAAAGAACGTTTCAGGGTTGAAGGCGAGAGCGCCATTCGCCCCCCCCCCCCCGAAATTTTTTTACCGGCCCCCCTCGAACGAAATGAAATTTATATAATTTATATAGAAAATATATACTTTTAACAGTGTCCGCCCCCCGAAGAAAGTTTACCGCCCCCCCCCCCCCCCCCCCGAAGATTTCAAGTGCCCCCCCCCCCGGAGAAAAAAGTCTGGAAGAAACACTGCTTGAGTAATCTGGTGTACGCTCTGTTTACTGTTCAGTGTTAAAAGTTACATCTAAGTATATCTAAATATGTTCATGAGTTATATCAAGGTGCCTATTGTTATTTATATTTAGTTAAAGATTGTGTAAATAAATTGTAATCTTTTATTGATAATGTAATGTGTGTTTTTTTTTATCAAGGTTCTTTTCAGAGTTTCTTTCAGGCACTCCCACTCCCTCCACACGGAATACGAAGTATAAATAATATAAATAATATCTAATTTTTTATAGAGATTATACAGTCTAACCACTGCCCCCTTTGGAAGTTTCAAACTTTTCTTTAATGTTAGACAAGATATAACGATGCTTAGCATGCCTAAAACTGTGCTAGGAGAATATCATGATTTTACACAGGTAATTTGCTTTGTCCAGTTTTTCATTATTTCCCATTATGATGGGTGGTTTTTGTTTTATGATTCTCATAACACCTCAGGTATAAAGATTTTTTTTTCTTAGCTGATCATTATATACTTTTGTTGTAAGGGAAAATATTAAAGATCAGTTTAAACAAAACAAATGAGTAAGATATTTACATAAACGATGAACAACAAATACTTTAAAAAAATAAATAAAACAAACCCAAGTTTGTTTTATTTTTTACATTTTCAGTTGATCAACATTGAGTTGACAGATTTGCAACAAATAAACAAGCACTAATTATGAACAAAACACAAATTTATGAAAAAGAAATACATTTTTTATTTATTATCTAGTTTACATATACTACACTGTTGTGGCAAGGCCTGCTCTGTGGTAGAGCCTACGAATGCTAGCCTGAAAGTCTGGAGTTCGAATCCCTGTCTTGATGGGTGCCTGACTCACTTTAGGGAAAGTAAATGCAGCGAGGCATAGTTCTGACCACACCATCCCTTCACATGAAAAAAATCGCATAAACAGGCGAACTCTACTTCAGCTGTTCTATGAATCGCGAAGTATTAAAGTGTAACTTTATATATACGTCATCCGAGTTATCCCTTGGATAAAGGTCGGACGGCAAAGGATGAAACAAAAATATCGAGGTCCCCCATGGAACTGCCTCAGCGCTAAACCCCCCTCCCGTCATGACCCCACACACTCAAACTATCTCTCACTCCCATCTCTCTCCAAACACGGCCCTGATATCACCCAATTCTAGCCCTCTCCCCCACCCCATTCTCATTCCCTCTAATTTAAAAAAAAAAAAAAAAAAAAAACAAACAAAAAAACAATTTACAGTATGTTCGATAAAATGTTGTCTTTAGAAAAAACGCATTTTTCTTATCATATCCACATCACTTTCGCTTACCCTCCGTCCCCGTTCACCACCTAAACATAAACTATCCTAACCAATCTCTACAGACTGCTTCCTACGATAAAAGAAAAAAAAAGCTTTATTCAATGTTAAATTCTACAATGTTAAATTCTACAATGTTAAATTCTACAATGTTAAATTCTACAATGTTAAATTCTACAATGTTAAATTCTACAATGTTAAATTCTTCAATGTTAAATTCTACAATGTTAAATTGTACCCTGTTTGTGATTGCAAGTGCGAGATCCATTATGACGTCGCTAATTAAACCACAAATTATCGAATTTGCGTTGCGCTTCTAGTGAATGTTTAATTAATCAAATGTAAACATTTTAAAAATAAATGCTCGTAAGTTATTAAAATTATCTTAAATTTCTATTTTCCAGCTGGCAAAGCAGAGTTTTTAATATGTTAGGCTACAAGTTCTGTAAGTTTAATGATGTCCGAAACAAATTATACATACGTATATATATATATATATATATATATATATATATATATATATATATATATATATATATATATATATATATATATATATATATATATATATATATATATATATAGGCCTATACATATATATATATATATATATATATATATATATATATATATATATATATATATATATATATATATATATATATATATATATATATATATATATATATATATAGGCCTATACATATATATATACATATATAGGCCTATACATATATATATACATATATATATATATATATATATATATATATATATATATATAGGCCTATACATATATATATACATATATATATATATATATATATATATATATATATATATATATATATATAGGCCTATACATATATATATATATATATATATATATATATATATATATATATATATATATATATATATATATATATATATATATATATATATATACATTATTCAATCAATTATAATCTCCTTTGTATTAAGGATTAAGTGTTGTGTTCGTGGCATATATCCAAAATTTCTGATACAAGTCAAAATGGCATGTTCAGAGTTATTATAAAATGACATGTTTAGAGCAATGGTTAAAACACAAATTGACACGATTAGGCTATGGAGAAAAACAGTTTAGGATAATTAGAAATTTAGTCTCCCAGTGAATAATGTCATTACCAGAAGCTAGTTATTAAGACATCGAGAGTTTCTTTTAGGCATCTTTTCTCCGGTACAAATTTAAAAAAATCTTACGGAAGTGAAAGTTCTGTTGCCAACCCCCCCCCCCCCCCCCCCACCCATCCCCCCCGCCCTCCCACGGATAGATGCCTGAAAGAAACACTGAGTCTGATACAATTGTTATTTCAGACGTTACTCAAAGCTCATTGATTCGATTAGCACGCAATGTGATCCTATTTCCGTAGAGAATCTTTAACATAAAAATTAAAGCTAACTACAAAAAACCACTTAACGATAGTATGTACGGATGTACAGA